GCTCCCTGCAAGTGCCTTCGAAAGCCCCTCTGCCCTTCCCCAGTGCACTCTCTGATAAGATGAAGCTACCTCCCACAGAGGGGAGGAGATGCTTCCAGGAACACTGGGATGGTACCCTTCGACCCTTCCAACCTGTATGCCATGGACTCCTTTATTCCTGCATGCTTTCTTTTTTTATGTTTAATTGGTTTTATTGAATTTCAAATGACTACAGACATAAAGTAAACACGTAACAAGACAATAGAGCAGAAAGGAAGTAAACTGCATAAATATAATCTCAGCATGGAGTTCCACTTAGCACCACATGTTTGGAGTGTTACAAGCATTAATGAGTCCTTACAACACCCAAGGGAGTCGCCCCCCGGCCTGGCGGGCAGGTGGGGAGATGGGCCCACAGAGGGAAAGATTTTCCCCTACCAAAAACAGAGCAGTTTGAGCTTAGAAGTACATGTTCCCCATGGAGCTATGTTCAGACCACTAGAAGTGGCTTGAAACCTGGAGACCATACATATTGGGGGTTTGAAGCATTTGTAGGACCTCTGCTACAGCAGGACAGAGAGCAATGTGGGTGTTTGTTTGTTTGTTTGTTTGTTTGTTTGTTTTTGAGACGGAGTCTCGCTCTGTAGCCCAGGCTGGAGTGCAGTGGCCGGATCTCAGCTCACTGCAAGCTCCGCCTCCCGGGTTCACGCCATTCTCCGGCCTCAGCCTCCCCAGTAGCTGGGACTACAGGTGCCCGCCACCTCGCCCGGCTAGTTTTTTTTTTGTATTTCTTAGTAGAGACGGGGTTTCACCGTGTTAGCCAGGATGGTCTCGATCTCCTGACCTCGTGATCCACCCGTCTCGGCCTCCCAAAGTGCTGGGATTGTTTGTTTGTTTTTGAATCTTTAGCATTCTAGTTTGTGGGCAGAAGCAGACCATGAGCTTGAATTCAAAATACTTGGAAAAAAGCCAAATCACAGACCCGTTCGTCTTACCCAAAGTGTGCATCTACCATGATTGAACGGTAAGAGCATTGCACATCTCTGCAGCACATGTCTCTTGCACACGTCAGAATCACATGCCCCATACTGATTCAGAAATTCTGCCATTTCTTGGGATATTGAGAGAGCTCACTTCATCCCAAGGGACAAGTTTTGGCTAAAATCAACACCAGGCTGTTTGTCCTGTCAAGAAAAGGAGCCAGTACCAGCATGGCAGACAGCACGCAGGCACAGAGCAGAACCCAGGAATCTGCCAGGAGGCAGTCTAGACGCTATCACCTCAAGCAGGGAACCAAGAAGGACACCGGAAAACACTATTCAGGACCCCTGAATTAAAACCAGCGCTACAGAAGGAGGTTACTGAGAAAGAACAGAAGTCAGGGACTGTACATTGCAGCTCATAAGACGGGTTTTCGGGGCTTATATTAGGCTTTAAGGGAACCAAAAAAGGGAAGAATCAGGACCAGGACGAGGCTCTGTGCCTGGTAACTAAAGCTGCAGTTTCAAGAATGGTCTTCATGCCGTGAGACCTGCTGGCCACGGCAGACAGTCTCCAGGCACGCTTGAGCGAATGCTCAGAGGGCCGTCCCCGTTGGAGTGGCCTCCTAATGCAAAGGGTGGAGGTGAGCTACCTTTGTGCCACTGTGCACGCCTTGCCAGGAACTTGCCCCAAGTTGGCAGCCCCAAGCCTGGCAGGCAAGTTCCACTCAGTGAGGCTCCCTGACCCCTCCCCTTGCTGCCATGCTTCCAAGAGCCTACAATGCCTATATCAGGCCCAGGGGCCAAACATCCAGGCTAATGTTTCCACTTTGCCAGTAAATATTGTCATGGTCTCGTCTGCCACCCATGAATATCAGAAGCATTGCCCACTTCAAGCTGCTGCTGGCACCACATGTGTACTGTACATGGCAGGAACCTGGCCGGCCTGCCTAGCTGAACGGCGCCCACTGCCCACCTCCTGGGTGCTGCGCGAAGGGGAGTGTGAACTTTGCCAAGGCACCTTTTCCTCCTCCTCTGCCCTGTCTGTGTCTCAAGCTAGCTGCTAAGTGGATGCGGGATGTGAGGAGAGGTGAGGAAATGAGAAAGGTAAGAGAGGAACCTACCCAAGCAAATCGGAAGGTGTTAAAAGAAACAATAATCCTTCGAAGGAGAAATGGTCGGTTTTCTAGAAAGAGGAAGCTTCAGCACAACCAGCCATTCCTTTCAGAGGCTCTCAGTGGCAGAAGGTGGGCGGCGGGTGTGCTGCAAAGGACAGCATCTGATCCAGCTCCGTAGCATCTGCGTCCAGGAAAGAGATGCCTCTGCTTAATCAACCCTGGTGTATCTTCGGGCCAGAGCGCCAGGGAGCTAATCGCCCCCTCCTGTCCGCGTCACTAATCGTGCTGATTCCCTCAGAAACCCCCCTCCCTACCTAAGCTGGATCATGGTTGCTGGTTGGGTTGGGGGGAGGAGCAGGTCAGCGAGGGGTTCCTAACCTGCCACTAGCACCAGGCACCTTTTCAAGAGGCAGGAGGCACAGGAAGTAGCAGCTCTAGGAAGAACCAGCTTAAAACAAAAACAGAGGAGAAGAAAAAATCGCCTTGGAATGTGTACTGCATTCTAACTAGTCCCACTGGGTCCATGCAATAGGGGGGGATTATTGCAGGCAAGACCTGGGCTGCCTCAGTAATTCTGCAAGTTTGATAAGAGATAGCTGGCAGACTTCAGTGTCCTTCCCCCGAAAGAGAAAACAGACACCACCTTGGCCACATCTGACTGGCATGCAATACGGGGGTCTTTGGGGGTTGTTCTGTCTTAAAATTGGGCAGCCTTGTTCTATTACGACACACTGAAGCCTATTCAGGGCTGATTGGGTGAGGGTAGTACAAATAAGGCCATCATTCTTTTTGAGAAATTCGGGATTTGGTAGAATGTGATAAGGTCTCAGATAGTCCTGTCGCCACCACCCCTACCCCAAGGTAGGAACAAGACCACAAAATCAGATGGCACCTTAGATAGATTTGCACCACCACTTTGCTACTCATCTATTCAGAGACGATTCAAAGTATGAGCAAATATTATGCTTCCCTGCATTTATTCTGATGGAAAAAAAAAAAAATCACGTATGCTAATTTATATGTAAATTCAGCATGGCCCTGGGGCTCCTGGCATGCAGCCAGCAGGGCTGTTGATGGCGGAAGTTTGGTCATTGTCTCCAGTTCAATGTTACAGACAGAAGAGACATGGACCTCAGGAGAGACAGAAATTACTGAGGGCTTGGGACCTTCCCTCTCCCTACCTCTCACCCCTCACCCTACCCCTTCCTGCTTAGTGTTCATTTTTGCCGTCAGCCCCCATAGAAACCGCTTTCCCGAAAGTGCCCGATCCTGAACTCAGTCTCCCTACTTCATTCTTGTGCACCCAGAACAAGCAGGGGCGCACACACATGCACGCACACACACGCTGATACTGCTCCATATTATATAAGAGGAGTCAATCAAGGATGCCTCCAAGTTGACTCCCTTCACTCATACACACACCAAAGCCCCTAGGGGAGACGAGGGAGATCCTGAGGCCCATGCCTCCTGGTGTTGGGTGCAGCAGGTGACATCATGGACATCCCTGCAAGATTCACCACCTTAGACTTCCTTATCATGCGACACAGATCCTTTCTGTCCCCCTCCTTGCCTTCTTCGTCGAGCCCCAGTCAAGGGTGTACACATTTGGTCTTTCCAGCCTAGTCTCTCCGCCCACCTTACGTGGATCCACACTGCAGCCACTGCAACCTATGTAAAGAGGACAGCAGCAATCCCTAGGTCCTAACCTCGGAGAAGAGTCAGCAGGACTACAGCTCAGGACTCAGTCCAGATCAGGAGAACTCCATATTGCAGGGGGAGAAGAGGGCGAGGGGGTGTTTTTCACTGGGTTTTTTCACTGGGTCAGAGGGAACTTTCCTCTGGGAATACAACTGCATAGGACTGAGCCTCACCTCCCAAGAGAGGGCTCCTCCTCCCAGAGCCCTGCTGGGTCACCCTGGGAAAGTTTCTCAGCTTGCCTCGATCCTTACGAGTTTAGCTATGTTTAATACGAAAGAGGCAAACTAGGTACCCCAAAGGACAGGGCAGGTGGGAGCAAGCTGATTAATGGATAATTCTGTTGCTGGAACGAACGGACGTGAGAGCTGGGATGGGGTGTCGGGGGTGGGGGCACGGTGCAGCAAATGGACTCAAGGTGGAGGCCAATTCCAAATGCACAGAACACAGCACTGGGAACATCAAAGCATGCACCAACTGCAGCCCCCAGGGCTCCGGGCTCAGCCGATAAATAAACAGAAAATTGGCATTCGACTCTTATTGCCTCTCTCCCTTCAACTTCGAAAAGCTTTTTAGAATTTCAGAGCCCCGACTCCCCTTCCTTTTATCTGATTGTTATCCACACCCCCCACCCCAGCCACAAACACACCCCCGAACACATTCAAAACTAAGACAGTTGTCCCCCACTGCTGCAAATTGACTCATCCCTTGAAGCCGGATCGCTGACCAGAACCTCACAAGAAGCACCTGAACCTGATTCTTTCTAGCCTGCATTTTCCCCTTTGCTCCTTTTAAAAGCTTTGCAAGTTCGCTGGCGGATATTTAAAGTTTCCTCTTGTAATTTCTTCCCAGTCGCATAACCAACACCTTGGCAACCCTGTTGCCCTCCGAATCTGTCATTTCCCCCTGCTTACATGTGTGCTCCGTTGTATATGTGTGCAAGAATGTGCATGAAGCCAGGGAGCCTAGCACACAACCACAGACCTAACAGGAGCACCAAACATGTTTTACTTATGCACATACATTCCCCCATTCCGGTAGCAGCCAGAATCAAATCAATATTCTCACAGCCTAGTCGGGAGAATGAAGTCCCAGCCATGCTGTCTAAACGCTCTCTCCTCCACCTGCAAACAGTGCAGCACAGCCGACTCGGGGAGTCTGCGAATCTTATAAAGCACACTGTACAATTCCTGGGTCTACCGTAGGCAAATCAACAGCAAGCTCTTACCTTGGAAGAGACACAGAGCAGCCAGCCCCGTGAAGACTGCCCAAGAGATAGAATTGTGCATTTTTGGCTGGATGGTTTTCATGATTTTTTTTCTTCTTCTTTTTCTTCTTTTTTGTCAGGTTCGGTTTTTTTCTTTCTTTCCTGATAGACTGTGTTGCTCTCAAGCTTGTGCAAGGAGATTTAAATCCACTGTTTTGCTGAAGGACACAACAAGAAAACCGAGGGTGTGAGAGAGTATGACTTCTCCGTAATTATCTCCACTCATACTCTGGCACTGAGACACATTGTACAATCTGGCCCTGGACAGCCCTCCTACAAGCTGCAATCATTGGTTCTAATCCAAGGATTGACAGAGCTACAACACACGCGCGCGGGCACACACACACACACACACGCTCTCTCTCAGGAATCATTTACTGGGCAAATCAGGCTAGCTGATTAAAGAGACAGGAGCCTGGAGAGATAGAATGATAAATGCCACTTTGCCCCTTCTATATTACTTTCATTTTTTAAACTGACAGTCTCTGAGTCTTCTGAATATCAGAAAATCCCTTTCCCCCTGGCATTCCCTGGCCTCCTGAACTCAGATTCCCTTTGCACTGGAAAAATCCCATAGCCAGCCATGGCTTATGGGAAATTTTAAAGGGACATTTTCATGCTCAGTGAAACTTGTAAAGATGAGTCAGATTTCATTTGTTGGTACCTATTTTCCCCTCCGATGGAAATATCATTCAGTGACAGCTTTTTTTTTTTTTTCTCTTTCATCAACCTTTCTACTTAGTTGCTTTGAAAATAGTAAATAACTTTCTATTTTCTCCTCCTGTCACTCCTGTTTCAGAACATCTATGTTATTCCTCTTTTTCATTCACTTTTTAAAAATCAATTTCCTAAAGTCATCCATGTGTATATGATACCATGAAAAGGTACCAAGTACCTAGTATTTGAGAAGAAGTTCTGCAGTCTGAAGATGGAGAACCTTCTTCAAAAGAAAACAAAGTAGGAGTTTATTGACTTAGCCAATCCACATCTACTAAAGCAATAATATAAGCATCTGTGATTCAAACTGCAGCAAGAAAGATTCAGGTTAGACATGTAGAGGGGCTTTCTGAGTGTAAACTTTGTGAAGTTCCTCAGAGTGTTGAAGACATTAATCTCCTTGGTGACAGGAAAGAATAAAAACCAAACAGAAATAACCTAATGGATATACATGATTTCTTAAGAGATCTAATTCTAGGGCCTGGAAGTTTATTCTAATTTTTGGCTTCCCCTTATGAGAGGCAATTTAGAGGATGTGAACAAAACATCTGGAAAATGTAGCCCCTGGCTGGGCACAGAGGCTCACGCCTGTGTATCCAGAACTTCAGACGGCCAAGGAAGGCCTGTAGCCTGAGCTCAGGAATTCGACAGCAGCCTGGACAACATGGTGAAACCCTATCTCTACTAAAAACATCCAAAAATATCTGTATATGGTGGTGCGCACCTGTGGTTCCAGCCACTTAGGTGGCTGAGGCAGGAGAATCGCTTGAGCCTAGGAGGCGGAGATTGCTGTGGGCAGAGATTGCGCCACTACAATCCAGCCTGGGCGACAGAGCCAGACCCTGTCTCAAGAAAAAGAAAAAAAAGAAGAAAAAGAAAATGTAGCTTCTCACAGAACCTTCCTTAGTCAATTCTGACACATTCATACCCCCACTATGCCTTGACACACATTTTAAAAATATTCTTCTAGAACTCCACTGCCAATTATTATACTTCCTTGTAACCCCCATAAAAATGCTAATGTATTTTCAAACTGCATAGAAGAAAAGTACTCATTGTCTGTTTGTATTTTAGTGTACAGAGGTGAAATGAAAACATCACTGCCATTTTGTACATGTCTAAGACACACAATTTACCTTGTTTTATTTTTTTTTCTTTTTCTGTCGTTCTTTTTTTGTTTTTACAGATTTTTGCTCTGTCACCAAGACTGGAGTGCAGTGGTGCAATCACAGCTCATGGCAACTTTGAACTCCTGGGCTCAGGTAACCCTCCTGCCTTACCCACCAGCTAATTTTTTTTTTGTTTGTTTGTCTAATTTTCTGTGGAGATGAAGTCTCACTATGTTGCTCAGGCTGGTTTCAAACTCCTTGCCTCAAGCAGTCCTTCCAGCCTTGGCCTCCCAGAAGTTGACCCTGTGTTGAGTATGAACAGGAACAACCCTCCCTGGAATGTGGGATCTTGTGACCATGGGAGGAAGGGGCCCTGGGACCTCAAGATCTGGGGACCTCAAGATCCTACTCACAGCGCTGCACAACCAAGGGGCCTCAGGCAGATCATTTCACCTCTGTGAACCTTGGCTTCTTGTCTGTAAAATTATAGAACTGGAATAATTTCTTATCCTCCTTCCCATTTTAAAGACTTTTTATGTTAACTGGTATTTTCTTTTTTCTTCTTGCCATTAAGTTCTAATTCACATGTCTATCAAAATGTCCTTGATACTGTGAGCTCCCAATGGACAAGAATTTTATCTGTAGATGAGACGTTTTGTGCGGTGCTCAGCATAGTGACATGTGTAATTAAATGCTTTGGAACAACTGTGACGGAAGGTGATAACAGTGCTGTGCAAAAGGAAGGTGGCTTCCTTTCACCACCGTTTCATTTCTCTCCAGAACGATGACAAAGATCATGGACCACTGGTAAGTCTTTAGTCCCAATCTGGAGAGGCAGACACTAACATTTGTAAATGTCCTCACTCTGAACTATAATAAATCTATACAGTTACCAATGTTTATTAAGCTCCCATGTGTGTACAAATAATAAGAAATTAATCATCAGAGTTGATATTCATTGATATTTATTTGCAATGTGCTAGGCATGATACTCAGTGTTCTGTATGCATTTTTTCTCATTAAATCCTCATAACCTGTGAAGTGGTGATATTATCCTCCCCATTTTATACACGAGGGCGTTGAGGCTCAGAAAAAGATTGTCCACAGCCACACAACAGTTAAGGAGTGGAATCAGGATTTAAACCTAAGCATTTTCATCTTAGATCAACTTCAAAAATAATATCCTGTGCTAAACACCGTGAGGGACTCAAATAGATATCAAGCATCCTAGCGTATAATCTTTTTGCTGTTTTCAGTAGCATATGAGATTATTGATAAACATTACAATATGTTGATACAAAACTACAGGAAGACTCATATACTGCTTTCAATCTTAACTGAGTTTCAAATGGTTGGTACATAGAATGAATTTCATCAGACCGCACATGATAGCTGGTCGTTTTCTATGACAGTTTTGTAAAGTTCTTTGGAGATGGTGGGAGTCATGAATACCTTGAGAGGGACTCTGATCCTAGATCTGAGGCGGAGGGAAGGATATTGCTGGACGAGGATACCATGAATTAAGAACTAGAGTTAGAAATATACCAAGTAGATTTGAGGTTCTAGTGACTTGTCTGAGATTCCCCATCCTACCCTTCTGTATAGCAATAAAAGCTTGAAAATATTTTTCTTACATAAATCTTAGCACAATATGATTCTTGGCAGTTACTTTCTGCACACAGGTAAGGTAACCATGTCTGGACCCGGCAGGCACAGACACTGGGCATCACTGACATGACTTGTTGATTGAGAGCACAGACTTAGGGCTGCTTTGCTTGGGGTCCAAATCCCAGTTCTGTCCCGTAGGGGCTGTGGGATTAGGTTGAGTCATTTCAACTCCACATCTGAAACAGGATAGCAATTACACCCCCATCCCAACCATAGCCAGACATCCTAACCATCAACTAATTTTCATTAATTTTACTGTTTTAACAAATTGAGATGGATGTGGTCTACCATGTGGCATTGGTGGAAGCTATCTGTGCTTGGGAACTAAGACTCCTGGACAGAGCAGTCTCAGCATTATGCTTTGTGCATTCATTGAGGCAAAATATATCCTCAGGGATTGCCGAACCAGAAGTCTAATTTGGGCTCTGAACACAGCTAAATGCTAAACTATCTTGAGAGCTATAGCTCTTTCAATGCTTGAATTTGCCACATGAAGTAAAATTTCCCAGTGGCCCTCAGGTTTCACAAAAGCACACCATTAACCTCCTTCTAGAGAAGGCATCTCTTTTCCTCCTTTGTTATTGGGTTTAACACAGCATCACCAATACAGGCCTGTTGGATCAGTCAGCTGCTCATTGCTATAATTACAAGTCGAAAAGCTGATCCTAGGCTACACACAGAAGGGTTTCATTCAACCAAGTACATATCTTGCCTAATGGAACAGGTCTCATCAATGCAGTCAACAAACTTCCTTTCCATTTTCCATTCTAGTCTCAGGGTCTATCAGGCTTAGGACTGAGAATCTCCATTGTTGCAACTATCCCAAAGAACGCATGGCTTGGTCCTTCTGCTTTGGGGTGGCTTGTGACTATGGTTAGAGATTTCTGCCAGAAGTGAGGCAATGACTAAAGAACCTCTGACTGGGGGAAGTTATGACTGGGGGGAGCTATGATTGGAAGGGGGGACACTTTGAAATCACAGTTCCCTCCTCAGCAATCAGAGCTCCTTCCTCTGAGTTAGAAGGCTCAAGTACTTCTCATCAGGTGTCTGGAGGACTCACTTTGCCTTTTGCATTAGCCAGATTTATGTTATGCACCATTTGCTTCCCAGTTCATGGGTCCACTTTTTTTGCAGAGGAGGATGAATGTCTTAAGACGAAATTAACGTCCAGAAAGGGACCTTAAATTCTAGACAGAATGGTAATCTCTCACCACCCACACGCCTTGAAGTTAGAAGAACTTTACTACAGACATGATTTTTCTGTTTGCAGATAAGAAACAAGGAAGGGGCATAAAATTTTTTTTTTAAATAAGGAAGGGGAAACAGATGAGGTCTTTAACTCCTTTGGAGAGGGCAGCTAGGATTGCATTTCATAAACCTTTTATCATCGGGCAGCTTAGGAATCTGCACTGTGTGCAATGAGCTGGTACAAACAGGGATTGATTGTCTGTAAACTGCCCCCATGCACACCTGTCACCTCACCCAACGATAGACAATAAGTCCAGTAAGCTCACTGTGGGACCTGGCTGCCCTGCTGTCCAAATCCCAGCTGAACCCTGACAGCAGACATAGGAGAGGGGATGCATAATCACTCACACATGGTGGGCCAGGCTTGAAGGACTGGCAGACAGAATGCCACCATGAGGGGGAGGAGGAGGTGGGTGTGCGTGTGCCTGTGAGTGAGGGAGGAAGGGGTGTGGAGGCAGTGTTTTTTATTTCTCTCAGCTATTATGGAAAGAACTGCGGGAGCTTAAATCTAAAGAGCAGTGCTGAAATAATGTTCAGGACTTAACAAAAGCCGCTGCTCTGCTGCCATCCGCCTGCTGTGGCCTGCCTCTGCTGAGGCTCCGTGCGGTGGGTGATCTTACATGCCCAGAAGCTTGGAGGAGCCTGCCCTGGGGGAAGAGGAAGCCAGCCTGCCCTCGCACATCTGGGGTTGGGCAGGGTTCAGCTTTGACTTGCAATGCCACTTCAGGGATAGTGAAAACCATAGTAGGAAGAAGGCAGCCTCCTACCTTAAAGGGAGTCTCCCCAGAAAGGG